AGAAATCATTCTAATATGCTAATTTGCTGCTTAAAAATATTTATTATTATTATGTTGAAAACAGTTGTGCTGTTTCATATTTTTGTGTAAACCATGATACTTAGGATTCTTTGATGATCAAAAAGTTTTTATTTAAAATAGAAATGTTTTGCTACATTATAAATGTCTTTACTGTTTTGATCAATTTAATGCATCCTTGCTGAATAGAAATATTAAATAATTTCTAAATAAATAAATAACATTTCCCCAATTCCAACGTTTATAAAGTCATTCTTGCATTTTTTAAATATCCTCATTTATGTTATTTACAATTACTCATTAAGCAGATGCGTTTATGCAAGCAACTTATAAATGAGGAATATCAAAAATGTTGGCCAAGATAATATTACCATGTTGGAATATTAAACTCAGTACAAGTTCGACAACAATACTCTGTTTAATACGCTACAGATAGTATTTAGGTTTGCAAGGCATCACAATATAGTATAAAAAAATTAACAAATGAAATATATGAAGCCAACAAAGCACCAGTCCTTGAAACTCTCTCACAATGGCCTCAGACCATCCTTATTGTTGAGCCTTTGAGTATTTTGAAAGTTTTGAGTAAGAAAATCTACAGTATTATTTCCACAGCACACTCAACTTTCATTTCAAAAGATGGAGGAAAATTTCATTTTCTCAGAGCAGACTCTGAATAGAAATCTCATACTTACCAGAGACGAGCATTATCCAGGGCACGAGCAAAAGCATGATGCTGTGAAATGTCACACCCTCCTTCAGGATGACAATGAAGACCTCAGCATTCATGACTACTGCATAAAGCAGCCCTGCCCACATGAAGAGCAGACAGGTCAGGAAATACCGGTAATTGTGGAAACCGACACACTCGCCAAAAAAAACACAGTGGTGATCACGCCGCAGTACACACACGTTGCAGTCATAGCAGTGTGAGCATCGTGGCGGAGTGTGTGTCTCACAGTTGTAACAATACCTGTCATAAAACATGAAAATATCAAATTAGAATGGTTTACTGAGCCTTCTTTTATTCATGAATAGCACAAAAGCTCAAACAGAGATTTAAGAGCCCAAATAAGTGATAAATAAACACTGTACAATAAAAAAAAAAACAATTACCTCCACCCTTGACCCAATGCATCCCCTCCAAGAAACACTCCTCGAATACTTGGGTTAGTTTTGACAAACAACGATGCATTCCAAGTTATATTTCCCAACATGAAGTACTGAGCGAAGAGATGCATGGCCTTCCACATGGTGGACCACTCGGTCTTCTTCTGTTCTGGCTCAAGGGGAGCCTCCACCAGCACCAGGTAACTGACCTCGGCAGTAATGGAGAACACCAGCACGGCGTTCAGAACGATAGGCAGATGACGACCGGATGACTCCACCTTACACCATAGTCTACTCATGAACCTTGCCATGTTTTCAGCTTTAAATCATCCGCTGCGTGAGACTCTACCTGCAAAGCCACTCGATTCACGTTTGCTCGAATCTGAACACAAAAACAAATAAGATGGCCAATTGAGAGAGGCATTAAAAATCCTTCAAAAGCCTGTTTCATTAACGTTACACGACATTTATTGAAGCTGCAACAAATAGAAAGATCTGAAACTAGTAATGAATGGGACACTTCTAACTCTGTCTCTGACAAATAACAATTGAATGTTCCAGTCACATTGACAGCAGCTATCGATTAGAAACTATAAAATTCTAGGACGATTTATTTTTATTAATTCATACCGACCTGTCATTCCATTCAGAATATCTTTCAGACGATAAATGCGGAACAAACGATACTTCTTCTTCTTCTTCTTTGGTGTTTATTGGCGGTTGGCAACCTAACTGACTGGTGCATTACCGCCACCGACTGGAATAAAGTATGGATCAGGATTTTGCTTGTAGGACAAAATAAACCATAAAAACCAATCAAAACAAATAAATAAACTAGAAATGAAAACAAAACAAATAATATGACAATATTCTTTTATATGAGTCGATTTAACCAAATTATGGTGACAAAAAATCCCAATGACATGATTCCGTACTATAATCCCAGTCTTGGTTTTGGGTTTTCTTCTTCTTCTTTAGATTGGTGGCTGACAACCAATTTTAAAGGTGCATTATCGCCACATACCAGACTGGAGTGTGGAGCAGTATATGACAAACAAGGGAACTAATGATATTCTTTCCATCAATCCTGTATTTTTTAGGTAAATCATGAGATGTTTGACCACATTCCAAGTACTTCCTTCTAAAAGCTTCTGAACATTAACATTTACAATGTCTTTCTTCAGCATTTGAAACATTTCCCTTCTTTCCTCCTCATATCTCCTACATTCCAATAACACATGTAACACTGATTCCGTTACCTCACAATTTTCACACAAACCTGTTGGATGTTTGCCTATTTGATATTCTTTCCATCAATCCTGTATTTCTGAGGTAAATCATGAGATGTTTGACCACATTCCAAGTACTTCCTTCCCACAGTTTGACTTTTCAATGACAATTTAGCCAGCTTATCAACAGCTTAAGTTTCCTCAACTCCTACGTGAGCAGGAACCCAAACAAAGCCAACATTCAAGCCCTTCTCATGTAAACAGAATATGTTTTGATGAATTTCATTAATGACATCTAATCTGCATGATTTCATAGTTTTAATGCTTAAAAGAGCAGACCAGCTGTCCGATGCAATTATTCACATGATTTTCCTGTATCCAGTTTAAAGCTAGTAGTACTCCCACAAGTTCAACTGTATATACTGATAATTTATCTGTTGTTCTTTTTATTATAGCTATATCATGTTGAGGAATATATACTGCTGTTTCTGTGCGTCCTGTCTCTGGGTCTTTTGAGCCATCAGAGAATACCATTAACTTACCCAATATTGCTGTTTAATATAATTTTGTGCTAATAAACCTTTAGGTATCTGGATAGAATTATCCCTTATTTGTTGTTGAATATTAAAATCTATTATTGGCATCACAAATAACCATGGGGGGATATCTGAATAGCAAACTGTTGAGCTGCATTTCAGATTACACAACCCTTCATTCTCTACTTTTATATCTCCTATCCATCCAAAGCTTCTTATATTATATTTACTGTGTTCCCAACACTCCTGTAAAACGTTTTTTGTAGGATGAAAACTATTATGTCCTTCTAAATTAATCCAATAGGTTAACATAAGTTTAAGTCTCCTTATGCATAAAGGCATCTCTCCTGGAACAAACGATATCCTGCTGACTGCTGTCTTTAACAATGAGCTGGTGCTGCAGGCTAACAACATTTGGCACCGACAGGTCTGTGTTGCACCTAAAACAGTCCCTCTAACACAAATGACACTGTACAAGAGTTCCACACGGAAATAAGGGGGTTGTACAGAAACACCTTGCAAATGAGAGAATGAATGAATGAATGAAGTCTTATATATTATTATACATTTCCTGTTACCTTAAAAATGTCACCGTATCTAACTGACTACTGTGCAAATATATTTTAAAAAGACAAATATTGTACAAAGGCAATAATATCAAAATCACATTTATGAATAAATAAAATACGAGGTGGAAAATACACTCTATTTACTATTTAAATAAATATGAGCTTTTAGAGTTCCACTGACCAAATCATGCACAACATTGCATCTTGCATTTCAGTGTCCTTCTGAGAACTGGACTGCTTGACAAGCAATACAGGGGGGCTAGTTGTCACAAGTTTTATTCCAGTGAGTTTTTCTTAGTTAATGTAAGCATTGTCTTCAGTTGTTTATTCAAAAAAAAAAGTGATGTTGGAATTTTAGTTTGAAGAACAGATTTCAGAAAATGTATTCTAATTTAAGAATAATCCTCTATATGTGACGATGGGACAGCAGTGGTAGGCCTATCTGTGAAATAATCGAAGGTTGTAAAATAACGTGAAAAGCCTTGGGGTTAGTAGTAAAACGTAATCTTTAAATACAGACTACCACGATTTTCCTTTGACCACCCCTTTCATTTTGACCCCCTTTCGTAAAGAATAATCCCTAATCTCATAATCCACACTGCTGGCCGTTGAGAGAGCAGACTGCCATTCAGAGCGAGTTTAACATGACTTCGTTTACAAAGGGTGAGGAGGAGCGCCATGACAATCACCAAAGCAAGGCATACGAGAATCTACAACACAAGTGAGTGCTCGTGTGATGATCATTTACTTTTCACTTTATTTTATTCTTTTCGTCCCAGTCCCAGATTTGTTTAAACATATGTCGGAATTACTTTCCTCGGTTAGGCTATTATTTTACTTAAGTTTTCTATTTAGTATAATTTAGGTTGTGGTGTCGATGTGTTGTGGTGTACATTGCCATGATATTGTACAGTGAATTCTGAAGTAATTGTGTTACTGTTCTCCCGTGTCGTTAAAACCCAGGAGAGGGCGCTATTGTCTGTCCACAAGGGTTGTAAACAAACAAACAAAAAAATTACAGTGATAATTCACCCAGAACTGACTATTCTGTCATTATTTACTAACCCTCGTGTTGTTTGAAACCTATAGGAAAGAAACAACATTACCTGTAGAATATGTAGCCTAGGTTGTGTAGATAGAATGATAGTCCGCCATTCATTGTTTAGTAAAAGAAAGATGCAATGAAAGTGAATAGTATATCAACAAAGTAAACCATACAGATTTGTTACAAAATGACAGTAAACTGCTCTTTTAAGACATTATGTAGTCTGGGTATGTGTGTTTAACATCACTCATGGTTATCGCGATCTCTCTAATAATACTACAGTCAGCAAAGAAGAATGCAGCTCCAGAATGATCTTCAATCACAGCAGCGAAATCATCGCCTGTAAGAAACCATACATTCATTAAACATCCTAACATAGATATTTGTTCAGTTCAGAATTTGAGGATAAATTTAAATTGTTCTATGATATTGTGCTGAAATGTAACGTCAAAAAAATGTTAATAATTTTTTTTATTTATTTTTTTTTTTTTACTATTTTGGAACGAATAGGATCAAACAAAAATTCTATAATAATATCCTATAGGATAAACTGAATTTTCCAGGTTATCAGAATAATTGTATTTTGTTTTTGAGGATTCTTCTTGATTTTAGAGGATTCTGGCATTCATTTGGGGTTTTTTTTTTCATCAGTGAATGAGCTCATGATGTGTTTGTTGTGATAGGAGCAGGGCAGCCTGGCTGCAGGACCGCTGGTTGGAGATCAGTGAGCAGGAGCGCAGGGCTCAGATCAAGAACCAAAAGCTGCTGCAGGACTTTCAGAGAGCACAAGACACGCTCAATGACATGGTGGCCCGCACCGAAGCCATGAACACTATACGGGTCAGCTAACACACGAAACTTCCCTGCCTTCCATACGTGCATTGTCAGAAAAAAAAAGTGCAAAAAAAAAAAACTTTTAGAGGCTTGTCAGTTACTTGAGCAGAACTGTCAAATAAATTACATGATATCTGACATTATAAGTCACCCTGAAATAAAAACAATAGTTTTTTGGCAATTAGCAAACAACAACAATACAATTATCTAATTAGTTCCTGAAGGACAAAATCAAAGTTCCACCCTACATTTCTTCTTATTCAAGAAGCCGTTTCACTCGGATATACATCACAGTAAGGAAGAAAAGACTATCGCAATTTCCATTTCATGCCGTCTTTAAGGTACTACGCAGCTTTTAGGGAGAAATAAGGTATACAATTTTCCCTTTAACAATACTGCCACAGTGACCATATGTTGTACCTAAAAGTCCATTTTTTTGCACATTGCATTTTCTAAGTGTGCCTTGTATTGTAATGCATTGATAAGCAGATCCATCATATGACATGCATTTGTCCTCTAAAACTTCAGATTCATTATGTTTTGCCATTGCATGTACATGTTGTTGCTTAACTAAACTAACCTACACATTTTCTCTTCAAAAGGTTCAGTATAAACAGTATCTGGAAGAGAACTTCCCACGATGGCAGCAAAGACTCAAAGACATAAGAGTTTCTGAAAAGTCAAAGGTGCTTTTTTTTTTTTAAGGCAAAGTGATGTCTTTTTAAAGGAGTCTTGACAAACATGAACAGAACTGAATGTCTGAAAATGTTACTGAAAAGTGAATAGAAAACAGGGCACTTGTATTGATTGTAATGTCTGGTTTTTATCAGCACTTAAAGAGCTATATTCAGAAGATGGAAGAGGAAGAAGGTATCAAGTATGAACACAGCTCTGACTTTAGAGCCCACCTTCTGTCCTCCAATTTTCCAGATGCATCTCAGCCTTCTCACACCATGCTAAACACTCATCAGAGAGTGCAAGGCAATGTGCTTAGCAATTTCTCAGTCATGCCCCATATCAACTTTGGTTGAGAAAACTGTTAACAAGACCCTCTTTTTTTAGACATCAAGCAAAATCCTGAAAGATGCAACCATCAACCTTACATTCCACCCACTTGGTTAACTGGCTCAGAGCCTTCTATTTCCGGACTCCCCCAAAACAATATCGCAAAGGATTACAAAAACCTTCAGAACACTCAAGCCTTAAATCATCCCTTGCCACCTTACTATTCTTTACCTGGCGATTTAGTCCATCAGTCACATTCTCCAGTCCAGCAAAAGCCACCATCAATGGACCATCTGTGGGCTGGTATAAGGCAAGGGTTTATGCCTACAGCTCACTTCACTCCTCCTGCTGCTTCCTGGCCACGACTCCGTGTGCTGAACCCCATGACGTGGGGTGTGATGGATGTACCAGACCCCAGTGAGGAAAGAATCCAATGCAGTGAGCCAGACAAGATAAAGGTGATAAAAGCAAAACCAAAACACAGGAGGAAAGGGAAAGAGAGTGACCGGTCTTCTGAGCTCGACTGTAGACCAGGTTAGTTGTTTTGTGAAATTTGGTGACTTTACATTGATTTGTTTCTCTGTGGGAAAAATCTTACATGATATTAGTCTAATGAAAACAAACTGTTCTTAAAAAAACTGTGTATGCTTACTTATTCTTGCAGTGCGTCTATCAATCAACCATGAAGAAAGTAGTGAAGGTAGCGCTGTGTCCTCTAAAGTCACAGTTTCTGGGATGCAAAAACGGAGAAAGAAAAAAACAGATGGGACAAAATCAAACTCTACAGAAAATAGGAACGAATCTCACGGGTATGCCACATGAACAGAAAAATATTCACAATTTTATTAGTCCATGTAGACAAAAATGATACATTTTCTCATCTTTCTTCTTAATTTTTTATAACATCTTTCCACATTTATCTGTTTTAGCTCTTCCACTATGTCACAAGATGCTTCAGATAGTAACTCGGGCACAAAAATGAACAAAAAACATCAAAAGCAGTTTAATAAGTGTAACAGCAATGAATCCGTTTTCACAGAGAAGACTGTTGATGCAGTGATGCAAGATGAAAGCGAACAAGAAGAAAGCAAGAGCCAAGACATTTCTCAGAGTAGTGTCAGCTCTGATAAGAAAGATGGATCTGAAGGACTCAACATTAGACAGGAAGAAGATTCTAATGAAGGAGATGATGACAGTCATGACATCATTGCGGCAGAGGAGAAAATAAGTCACAGAGAAGATAAAGATGAGGAAGAGGATGAGGAAAGCACAGATGGAGATGAGGAAGCAGGATTTGATGATGAAGCACAGGGAGGTGATGAAGAAGTGATGGGAAAGAGAGATGGGACTGAACCCAGTAATAGAGAAGAGCCAGAAAGGGAAGGAGATGTTCCAGATTACATTCCAGATATGGGAGAAACAACGGAGGAAGAGGAGAGAGACAATAGTTTTCAAAATACAAAGGAGGCTAGAAAGACTCAAGAAACTGTAGAAGATGAGAGAGAAATCCACAAAAGGTATATATTTAAATGTATGCAAATATCACTGCTCTTGAATATTCATCACTTATTTTTAATATGAATCGTCTACTCATTGGACTAAAACTGACTTTCTGCAAAGCCTTGAGGAGTCTGAAGAGGAAGAGGTTTACAATCAAGAAACAGAAGATGATGAAGAGGAAGATGATGAGGTTGTGGTTGAGAAAGCATACGCCTGGTCAAGAGACCCTTTTGATGATCATACAAAATGCCCTGAGGATGATGAGGATGATATTGAAGGTCTTCTCAACCCTGTCAAATCCCAAACACAGCAGTAAGTTTAGTTATATTCTGTATTATATTGTATGTTTTGCTCAATGGGATTCTAACCTTTATGTATTCCCATAGGGAGGATGATATGAAGGAGACAGACCAATCAAATGGTATGTTTAATTTTGTACACTTTTTTATTTATTTATGTATTTTCCACATTTTTTTTTTTTTAACAAAATTGTACAATTAATCTCATTAAATATTGTTGACTTGCAGTGAAAACCTGCAAACTATAGGATGAAATTAGGTAAATCCACTACATTATGATGCACGTCACAACACAGAAGAAAACATTTGTTGCCACCATTTTTGTTCATTAATTGAAAATTTGCCATTATTTTGTCTATGCAAGACTGCTTATGGATGAATTTTATGTCTAAAATGTGCTCTAGAACAGAGTTCTCAACTCATTTTGCTTCAGGACCCAGATTTTACATTGGACATTAAGTGGTGACCCAACACAGTGTCAAATGTAATTCATATTTAATGCAGTCTGAGTCATATTTTTTTTTTACCTTGCATAGTTCTATTCATAGTTTTTGAGAGTGAGGACTTGTCAGGCTGACTAGCTACTAACCTTCAACAAAAAATGGAATGTGCTTTATTTTTTATTTATTATCCTAATTTCCACCATTATATTAGTCAAATTTGGCTAGTGAAATTTTATTATTTGCATTATCTTTTTTTAAATTTTATCCAGATCAACCCTCTGATTCAGAGAAGGACAATCTACCACAGAAGAGTCATCCTGCAGCCACAAATGAGATAGTGGAGTCTGATGATGGGTTTGACCACTTCTATGATTAAACCAGAGACTAGAACATAAAGATGGGAAACAGAAAAAGAACAGAACAGAAAGAGAACACCAACAATGGATGAATACGCTGGACAGAAGCTGAGCAAGGTGCACACCCTAAACAGCAGCTCAGACCGGCCAGAGAGCCACAAGGCCGAGCAATGAATAGAGGAATCACATTACAAAGGGATGAAAGAGGAAAGAAAGGGATAAATAGATGCTGGGTGTCCCTCATCTTTTTTTGTTATTTGCTGGTAGCTTATCTGACTGTCCTGAAAGAACCGCACCACTGTCACTCTGCAAACACAGGTGGATCCAGAAATGAAGAGAGAATAATAGAGGAGATGAATAGTGGATGACGTTAAACGAGAGAAGACAAGTTATAGATTTTATTCTAAGCGCATAGCTGGAATGCTATCACTTTTCTAAAACAGAAAAGTGTTTCTTTAATCTAAATCAATGTTTTATTTATGACCTATAGGGAATCGAAGTGTTTGCCCTGAGTTCTTTGGAATTAATTGAAATGTAGCAAGAGTTTGAACGCTTTCTCATTCAGATAGGGAGCGTGGCCTGAAGCGAGGGGGATGAGTGTGGGTTCGGGGGAAGTGGGAAGGAGTACAGGCCTGTCACTGCCTCTGACTGATGGCTATTTGAACAGGCATATTTACCCGAGCCCTTGTGAAAGGAGACGGAGGGACACTAACGGAGACGTGCAGGCACAGACAGGCAATAAAAAGCTGGCCACTGTGTAAACAACATGGCCTAGGCTGTTCGGCCGCTGCCATGCCAACAGGGCAGCTTCCACTCTGCAGCCAATCACATGCCAGCTTTTTGACAAGCGGAACAAACCCCCCATTAGATGTTTTAAGCAGCCATTGATTAAATGCTTATAAAATAAAATATTATCTTCTGCGTTTGGGTCGTTGATACTTTTTGGCTGTGACATGTCCTGCAGAGTGACATGCTGTACGGTTTTAAACAGCAGTTAGTAATTCTTTTAGAATTATTGTGCATGCTGATTTTTTATGACCTCTGCATTTTGTTCTTTTAAAAATGGTCACAACACTTCATTTCAAATGAATTAGTCAAAGCAAAAACGTCATTAAAAATGGTGTGGAGCTTAAAAGTAATGATGACCAGTACAGAAATATACACAGAATTTAATTACATCTATTATTTTTTATTTATAAATTATACATAATTGTATGAAATTATTTCTTTAAGAGTTTTAAATAAATGCACACTACTGTTCGACATTAATTTTTATATATGTATTTATTCTATATTAATTTTAATATTATTTTGTATTTTTGAACTCATTTACTAGTAAATTAATGTGTATAATATCTCATTATTTTATCATATATAATTTTATTCATGATTTATTTTGTTTTCTTTTTCTGCCTGTTAAGACACATTCTAGTTCTTTAAATATGCTCTTTTATTTATTTTACACTATCTAATTATTTTATCATATCTAATTTAATTTACAATTTATTTATTTTTCTGGCTGTCAAAAGATGTTAGTGTTATAAATATGTATTTTTATTTCCAACTCGTTTGCTCATAAATTATATATTTATATATTATAAATGTCATTACAGTCACCCATCAATTTAATGCATTCTTGCTGAATAAAAGGATTAATTTCTTGTAAAAAAATAAATAAAAAAAGAGAAAAATCTTACTGACCCCAAACTTTTGAACGCTATACATTCATATAATTTCAATAAATTACATGGATTTTGGCAGATACTATATGCCAGTCTTCTTTTAATTATAATGCTATACATGTAATGTAAATGAATGTAAAGATCATGTTTTTGATACCATAAATTCAACACTTTATACATTTAAGATAAATGAGACTAATCAGAATAACTGAACTGAATTTGACAAACTTTTTCGCCAACAGTCACCTGGCAGCAGATCCCTTCCTCCTGCGCCAACCCCCCTCACAGTCTGGATCCACAGCTGGCCTACTGATGACCTGCAGACAGCATCTTCACACCCTACAAATCCACATTCACACCCTTGTAATGCTAAGAACTGAATACACACATAGCCAGACTCTTCAGATATTTAGAAAGCCACGGCACAGTCATCCATCATATCAACATACAGCAGAATCTGTCGACGGGCCGACTTCTACAGAAGACAATAATCTGCGCAGGAACAGATCACAGCCCCGAAAGCTCATGAACTCCTCACGTCTCGCCCTCTGTCTGAATCTCGGACACACACTGAGGGGTCTGTGGCTTCTGCTCAGATCGCTGTGGGTGTCCCTGTGTCCCATTGTTGAGAAGACACTGCTTTGGGGAGGTCCACCATTAAGACAGTGTCTTCCTATTGTTCTCATACACTCAAACACAATCCTGCTTTCACAGGAATCAAAGGTTAGGCTAGGAGGGGATGAAGGGGGTCGCAACCTTCCTACTGCTAGCATTCAGCCCATGAGACACCACACCAACCGCACTAAACCGTCAAAATCGCAAGCCATGTCTGGACACTAACCACTAACCTCCTATATCATCAGTGAATCTGTAGTTTGATGGGTTTGTGCAGTTTTATTGCCTGCATGTTAATGTCATAAATATGCATTTTTATTTCAATTATTATTTCATTTGCTTGTTAATTTATTTTGTATATTATCAAATTATATTATCATATATAATAAAAAAAAAAATATTTAGCCTTTTTTCTGCCTGTTTAAAAACATCTAAGCACCATACACATGAATTTTTATTTCAAACTCATTCACTAGTAAATTAATATACACAACCACTCTATATTATTCATTTTATATTATCTAATTATTTCATAATATGTAATATTATTTATTTGTTTGTTTTTGTTTTTCTGCCTGTTTAGAGATATGCTTGTGACATTAATATTATGTTTTTATTTTTAAACTCATTAACTAGTAAATTAATATTTATAATAGCGAATTATTTTATCATATATGATTTTAATTGCAATTTATTTTGTTTCTTTTTCTGCCTGTTAATAGACATTTTAGTTCTTTAAATCATTTATTTTATATTATCTAATTATTTTATCACATCTAATTGTATTTATAATTTATCTTCTTTTTCTGCCTCTCATAAATATGTATTATTTCCAACTAGTTTACTAATAAATGAATATGCATAATGTCCCTACATATATATACACAGTGTATATATATATATATATATATATATATATGATTTATTCATATTTTAGATTTTTAGATTTTTTCAACATATTGTTTGATTTTCTATTTAGAGACATCTTAGTGCCATAAATATGCAATATATATATAATTTATTTTTCAGGGTCTGCTGTATTTTATACAAATTGTGCATTTTGGGGGGGAGGTTTCTAAAGGTGGCTACAAAAGTTAGTGTGAGGAATGTCAGGACAGGAAATGATGTTTATCTTTTACAATGTGAGCAGAACAATGCCTCTGTTGAGTTGATTCTTCCCCAAATACTCTCTTGAGGAATTAAAAAAATGCATAAAATAATGTGAAAGCCCGAAAGTGTGATTATAATCTTGCACCTCACACCAGACATGCAAATAACAGAACTAACACCTTTAGGAATATTCAAAATTTTACTTGAGATTTACAGCAAGGAATTCACATTCATATGTATCTTCAAACACCTTCAATTCAATTTAATGCACATTCACACAGAATCAAAGAATCCTTCAGCATCAGATAACAGATACTTCTCCAGCTATGAGGTGTCCATCAACTAATATAATCAGCAATTATAAGCATCTAAACAGAAATTAATCCCATTTTAACAGCCCTTAATACACTACAGGAGGCCGATCAGGAGGAACTCAGAAGAGGAGCAGAACACATGCTAAACCCAGGGTAGAAAACAGAGTCTCCAGCATACGAGGTGAAGTTGGAATGGGAATTAGATTGGCAGTAAACTGGGTAGTTCACAGGAGTCTCGCAGTACTGGAAGTCCAGAAGTCGTGGGACAGAAATGTGGTGTTGGGATGTTGGTTCACAATGCAAGCTGGTTTCCATTGAGGCTTGTGGAACAGACTGCAGGCTGGGACTGGGCATTGTTGGGAACGGGACGTTCAGAGAAGGCAAGTGTGTTGAGATCTCTGGAGGCTGGGTAGGAAATAAAGTGTGTGAGGGAGTAAGGTGCTGAGGAAAATGGGAAGGAGAAGGTGCTTTGGCTGCGGGATAGGACACTGGTAATATGCCTGAATGCTGTGTTATGGTGTCAACTGGAGGAGTTACAGGCGATTTACAAGAAGAGGTGACTGACTTGACCTCCACCTTTTTTTTCTTCCCTTCCGATTTCACAGTTTCCCCATCCGAATGTTTCGATGGTGACGTCGCCTTTTGACACTTGAAGCGCTTCTGGCGACGCATGTAGCAGCCGTTCTCGAACATGTTACCGGAGTCGGGGTGCAGGGCCCAGTACGAGCCTTTCCCTGGCGAGTCTGGCGATCTCGGTACGCGCATAAAGCAGTCGTTGAACGACAGGGAATGTCGGATGGAGTTTTGCCATCGCTGTTGATTCTGTCTGTAATACGGAAAGAGCTGGCGGATCCAGTCGTAGATCTCATTCAGAGTCAGTCTCTTGGCTGGCGACTGGTGGATTGCCATGCAGATAAGAGAGATGTAGGAATATGGTGGCTTGGCGTGGCTTAAGGTCCGTCTGTAAACTGATTGCAGCGCCGGAAACTCAGGTTCTCTGGAGTTGCTCTCAGCGTATCCTTTGGGGTTTGGTGGAGGCAGTATTCCCACTGGGCTTCCGAGTCTCCCGGTGTTTCCCGCAGCTGCTGAATCACACGGTGGGCCGTAACTCTGGTAGTGATGCTCTGGGGGGGAATATCCTCTGTTGTCTGCTCCATAGAACACCTAAAAATATGAGAAATTAACATTAGATTTGAAAAAAATAATAATAATATATATATAAAATTGTATTATTGTATTATTATTGTAAAGTGAGGACCAGAGTCAGAAATAAACCAAAGCCTTGGTCCAAAAACCACATTAAATATGTGGGAAAAAATAGCTCATATTTTAAAAGCAGTTATCGAATATTTAATATATTTAAAAATATTCAGTCAAATGCAGTTGTTGTTGAATGTGTCACTAATATAATGGGTTTTTCTTTGACCAAAAACTATTAAAACAGTGATAGTAGAGAACTATATCTAACAAAATGTCTCACCAATAATATTAAATGTGACCCTGGAGCACAAAACCAGTCATAAGTAGCACAGGTATATTTGTAGCAATAGCCAACAATACATTGTACAGGTCAAAATTATTGATTTTTCTTTTATACCAACAATCATTAGAATATTAAGTAAAGATCATGTTCCATTAAGATATTTTGTAAATTTCCTATACCGTAAATATATCAAAACTTAATTTTTGATTAGTAATATGCATTGCTAAGAACTTAATTTGGACAACTTTAAAGGCGATTTTCTCAACATTTAGATTTTTTTGCACCCTCAGATTCCAGATTTTCAAATAATTGTATCTCAGTCAAATATTGTCATATCCTAACAAACATCAATGGAAAGCTTATTTATTCAGCTTTCAGATGATGTAAAAATCTCAATAACATTTTTTTTTTTTTTTTTTTATGACTGGTTTTGTAGTCCAGGGTCACAAATATTATGATCTTGTGCATTATTTTGATTTTCTAATTAACAGCAATCAAATTTAATACAGTTAGTTAAAAAAAAAAAAACATTTTAAATAAATTAAAAAAAATTTTTTTTGAAAAGGTACATTTTAATTTAATGTTCTGTTTTATAGTGCAAATTTACTTGCTTTTTGAACCCCCCCCCCCTTAAACGTTAATATTAATATTCGACATCGTGTGCGCA